TTTTTTTTGTGACAAAAATGTCCTTAAAATTTAGTGCCATATTCATTCATTTTAGTCAGTTTTACTCTGTAAAACTATTCAACCAAATATTCAAAAATGTTTTAATGTATCAACATTTAACAAAAACAACATTTAAAGACTGTCCTTGTTGTAAATAGTACATTAGAGTATTGTTATACATTATTGTGAAATCTTTATGTTTTGGTTATTCGGTGTCTGTGTCTTAGTGCATTGTAATAAAAACGCATTAAAAACTTGACCTTCATTTTGACTTTATTCGGGTTATTTGAAACAACCATTCTAAATCTTTCATTTAAAAAAAGAGTTACCACATTGTTGTGGTAGTATTTTTTTCTCATCATATTTTTTTATCAAAAGAACATTTTAGATAAAAGTCTATAATAGTCATCAGGATATGGATTGTATTTGTTAAAGTTAACAAAAACAGAAAACCTTTACTAATATGCAAGTAATTTTGATGAAATTAACATAATAGACTAAATTAAAGAGAGTTAGAAATGAGAATAAAACAAGCAGACATTAATTATTATTTAAAAAAATAGTGATGCTATTATTATATTTAATCAGTACAAGTGAAATTTCATGTTTGAGTCCAAGTGAAATTCTTGCAAAACTGAGGTACTAGTAAATACCTGTGCTAGTGTGAGGCGAAGGCTAATGGTTTTTCCCTGACTCAGCACATTATGAAGCTTCCTGCTGTGAAGAATATCATCAAGGTAGGCCCATAAACCCCCCACCACCTCCGAGGGTACGTCCACTTTCTTATTGTAAAAACAAGTGAGGGCATGACTTGTCCAGTCAAACAGAGCCTTTGTTAGGGAAAGAGGCATCAATGTTTGAAAAACATACATTTAAAAATATTACAATAAATTTGCTACATACTGTATATCAAGTTTAAAAGTAAACATTTATACTCTCAAAAATATGCAGACTGAGTCTATATTTCAATCAGATACATTCGCTGCTCTTTATTAGGAAGAAAGCACTGTGTTGATATCCATGCAAATCGAGCAAGTTTCTGTTTTTCTGGCCAGGGTGTGCGAGGGCTTTTCAGATAGGTCTAGGGTGGAGAGTAAATGGCAGCCATATCTAAATATCTTTATGTCTAAAGGAACAAAAACAGAGATTATCATTCGGTTTACACATTTTTAGACCAATTAAATGTTAATAAAAGGTTGAAATTAGAGGTGGACAGACAATCAGTTTGACCAATATATGGAATGGGAGGAGTTGGTGTGTGGCATTGGTGTATGTCATTTGACATTTAAACCCTCATGGTTGTGTGTGTGGAGAGGGTAACAGGTGGCGGGAATACATCTAGATCTATTGAACCATGAATCCATATGTTTATTTGTAAGCTGCATTCGTTCATTAAATGAACAAAGCAAGAAACTGATAGTGGCATGGACAATGACTTTATTTCCAACTTATGAGTAAAGAACGTCTTACCACCTGTTCCTGGGTGGTTAGGAAGCTACCACACACACCATGCAACTTGTATGTCATCCAATAAATGGCACTATTTGGTAGTATGGAGAAAAGTACCCAACAACAGTATTTACACGTAACTTATTTTATATATAGTTTGAATAAATTACTAAACTTTTGAAATAACAGCCATGAGGTTCTTTAGGTGAGAAATCTGTAGTTTTGAATATGAAAATACATTATCGTCCATCTCGACCACAAAACTATCAAGCATTTTGTTATACTGTAATGCTATAAACAACAATAGCATAATACAAATTATTTAGTGCTATTAATAGTATTTTCTTCTTATTAATATTGTTATTACATGGCTAACTATTATGCAAACAAGTCGGAATAGAGAGAACACTAGTCTTTCATAAACACATCCATTTTCCACGTCAAGTCACATAAAATCATGCTAAAGTAACCTCTCTCATTGTAAATTATTTTAAGCACACTAGCAGATGTCTGACAGCCCCTGGCGAATCACATCGAAACAATCTCAGAAAGTGTGCTAACGTTTAATTTTAATGAATAAAACGGACCGTAATATAATAAATGTTATAGTAGGCCATTTTCTGATAAAATGAGAAACTTTCAGAATACTTACAATCTCATCACACAAGTGTTGTCGCTACGGAGTCTGCAAAGACCTCTAACCGCAGACAGTAATAATCGAGGATGGAATAAGCATATAAAACTGGTTTTGTACAAACAAAACAAAACAAATAAAAAAAATTAGATTTGGATTGCGTCAGGAGCTATTATCAGTAATGTTTAGAACGGCGTCTTGCTAACATGTAGGTATAAATTACCTTGTGACCAAAGTAACCATGACATTACAGCAAGTTACGCATGGTAATGAAATCATGTCTAAAAGCCGAAATGTCGAATACCCTTAATAGGGACTGAAGGATGAACAGATATCAAGTAAATCGATGTAACACTTGCTTAACAAGTGGTAGGTTGATTAAACTTTTTGACTTATCCTGTCTGAGAGAGGTTTCGTTAGAGATCATAGAATTGAAGAAGTAGATTTCGCATTAGCTGCATTAGTTTGCAGGTCCGCCATATTGGAAAGGTCAATATCAACCCGTAAGATGTGCAACAGGCAGCATTTTTACAACGCTGACCATTTCTGCGTATTGTAATAGATATAAATGTCAACATAAAACTGAGTATTAGGTAAACGCTATCTGTAAATAATACAGATAATCATAAAAACTTCAGTTTTAAAGCAAATGAATCTAGCAACCTGTAAACATTCACACTATGTTTGTTACAAAATCATAATAAATAGAATCATTAAGCTACTTCTTTCAGAATATATAAACAATGTATTAAACATTAAACCTGGTTAATTATTTACTTCAAACCGTGTTGACCTTTCCAAGATGGCGGCGCTATTGACCAAACCAATGCGACACCTCCATGTTAACATCTATGACAGAGATCGTCCATTGCTGTAGTAGCACTTCGCTTCCTCGAACGCCAAGGATATCACCGGGGTCACCAGTTTATTTTAAAACACTCCAAATGCCACTTTTTGGGACAATAATTGACTTTGTGTTGAGTAAAGACCGACAGATGTCGTGCAGCAGGTTTTTGTGACAGGGCGCTGCCGGTGAACGCTCTGGGCGTGTGTGAAGATAACGCAACCAAGGGCTGGATGTGTAAACTGTCAGGAACAGATAATGCTCAGTAACCGTCGACCCTGGGCTGCAACAAGTCAGTCTTTTTAACAGAGCCCAGTGTCATGCAGTCAAGAGTGTGTCCAGATACTCCACTGCTTACAGCACCGCTCGATACATTGGTCATCTGACTTTATACAGTAAGTTTCGGCAGATAATGATTAGGTAGACGTAAACTTTGTTTTGGTCGTCTTCTCCAAATGAATGGGACAATGTTGCGAATGACACGATTTACTGTACGGAAACTGCAACAATGTAACATCGCCTGCTGTCGGTCAGATACATTGTATCATTTGCCTAATCGGACCTCAAGAACACAGTGGAAAAGGCAAGTGTGCAAGAACGGATCGTTCGATGTCCTTGTGTCACCCGTCTGTAAGGGAAGGAACATGTCCTGGCTCTCTTGTCTCAGAACCAGAGGGTTGTTTCTACCCAAGAGAATGTGGACACACTCCAGACACACGGTTGCTCTCTATAGCACATCTACGGCCTCCAAACAAACCGCAAAGTCTGTGGTAAATCAGGAGAGTAAAGTTAAAACCTCGGAAACCCCGTTACGCGTTCCCTCGGAAGATGTCAAGTTGCTGCAGCTGGCGTACCCTCAGCGATGGAGACTGACGGGCAAGTCAAACTGTGCTCGTGTTCGGTATTTACTTAGTATTATTGAAGGCACTTGATTGGTTTTGACTGTTTTCCGAGATTAATCCAAATGTAGAGTTTAACATCCCTTAAAAAATGCACAACGATACCTTTACAAATATATAGCCTATATCGAATATCATATATATCAGATGGTAGCACTTTATAGCAAAATATATATGCTGCAATGTAACTGTTAACTTAATATTAGTCACAAGTGTCAAAATATTAGTTATTAGAGCTACTCTGTAAATGTGTAATATTTATAAAATAAATATCAAAAAGAAAATTTGTAAATGAAATATCCACTTCTGCAAATTTACCTTTTGTAAATGGATAATATTTTGCAAATGGCCTTCTGAATGTCCTCACAGCTGCCGTGGGGTTTTTGGTGATCTCCAGCTCTGTCACTATGTCTGCACCATTTTTTCTGGGAAAAGTGATCGACACAATCTACACTAGCCCCCCAGAGGACTTCACCTCCTCCCTTACTTCCCTCTGTATCATGCTAACAGGGGTCTTCCTCTGCGGGGGCGCTGCAAATGCTGCTCGTGTTTACCTCATGCAAATCTCAGGTGAAATCTCAATGCACATGAAACAATAAAAGATTTGTAGTGCAGTAGGGACTTGTTTTGGGGAAACATTTTTGGCTTATTCAAAAAAAAAATTTTTTGAACGACCATTCAAAAGTTTGGGGTCAATAAGATTTTTATTTTATTATTATTTAAAAATATTAATATGTTTAATCAGCAAGGCCACATTAAGTTACAAAAGATTTCAATTTCAAATAAATGCTGTTCTTTCCTCAGAATCCTGAAAAAAATGTATCTGTTTCCACAAAAATATTAAGCAACACAACTCTTTTCAGCACTGGTAATAATAAGAAATGTTTCTTGAAATTAGCATATTAGAATGATTTCTGAAGGATCATGTGACACTTTTGATTGAAAATTAAACTTTGCCATCACAGGAATAAATTACATTTGAAATAACACAGGAATTCATTTAAATGGAAAAATGGAAAATAGTTATTTTGAATTGTAATAATATTTCAAAATATTACTGTTTTACTGTATTTATTAATCAAATAAATGAAGTTTGGTGAGCATAAGAATCTTTCCAAAAATTCCAAAAAGTTTTTATCAACCCCAAGCTTTTGAATAGTACCATATGTATGTCCTGATTGAATTTATTTGTTTTGTAAAGCTTGGGCCTAGTTTATTCTCATTAAATCCATAAATTAGAATAATTTCATCTGATTCTTTGTGTTGACCAGCATGCATTTCTGTGCTTGCTGTCTAAAAAGCCTTTCTCGACTTTCACAGGGCAACAGATTGTGCGAAAGTTACGTGAATCCCTTTTCTCCTCGATTCTGATGCAGGAGGTGGGATTCTTTGATAAGACCCGAACTGGTGAGCTCATTAACCGTCTTTCGGCAGACACGACCATCGTCGGGCGCTGCCTCACTGACAACCTGTCTGATGGCCTGCGTTCCCTTGCCCAGGCAGGGGCCGGAGTTGGCATGATGGTAAGATGCTTGTGATAGTTTGACATTTCAGAAGCTTATTCCCTTTACGAATATCACATTTTAACCACATTTTCTAAAGAATATTCTGAAGGAAATGAGAAAGGTGCACATGCCACAATTTTGCTTACATAAAAAACCCTGACTCTTATTACTTCCTGATGTGTTTCTAAAAACAGAAGATACAGTAATGCAGTGATTCTTATGTCGATGCACTTTGATTTCTTTTAATGTTTCCTCATGGAACTTTACAGTATATGTCTCATGTTTGAACTTTAGAATGCATCTACATGAATCACTCACTAATTAAATTCTTGGAATTTCCCTTTCTCTTTCTCAGTTATATGTGTCACCTAGTCTGGCAGCTTTTGTGCTGATGGTTGTTCCTCCTATTGCCTGCCTGGCTGTAATTTTTGGTAAATTTTTACGATCCATATCAAGGCGCACACAGGATGCGTTGGCAGAGGCCACACAGGTAAGAGGTCATGTTTACTTTTAATGGGACTTTATTGCACGTTTTATTGATGTATTGATGTATGTATGGAAGTAAGCCTTGGACAGTTATCATTTGATTGCTGAATTCATTGCTCTATTGTAAGCATAAACAAGTGCCTAGTAGCCAAAGGATCATTTTACTCTATAGCTGCTCTGCATCTCCTAGTTGGCTGAAGAGAGGATCAGCAACATACGGACAGTCCGGGCTTTTGGAAAAGAGCTGACGGAGGTGCAGAAGTACTCGGAAAAGGTTGACCATATTTTTGAACTGGCTAAGAAAGAGGCTGTGCTTTCTGCTGGATTCTATGGAGTGGTGAGATACTTAATTGTTGTACAAATATTTAAGTTGTGTGAATGATTATAGGTAATGATTATCATAATCAGTAAGCCAGTTTAAGATCCTTGTCTAGTACAGTACCTCTCCAGTTATGCTCTGATGTTTTCATTTCTTTCACAGACAGGACTGAGTGGAAATGTCATCATCCTGAGTGTGTTGTATAAAGGAGGTCTGCTGATGGCCAGTGAGGCCATGACCATTGGGCAACTCTCCTCTTTCTTAATGTATGCCTTCTGGGTGGGCATCAGCATCGCAGGTGAGAATGTTAGCTCGGAGAAACTGAATATACACTACTGTTTAAAAGTTTGGGGTCAGTTTGATTTTTTTTTTTTAAAGAAATTAATATTTTTATTCAGCAAGAACACATTAAATTGATCAAAAATTACAGTAAACATGTATACTGTTAAACAAAGATTTATTTTTCAAAATAAATGCTGTTTTTTAAACTTTCTATTTATCACAGAATCCTGAAAAAATATTTAGCAGTTTCCACAAAAATATTAAGCAGCACAATGTTGTCAATGTTAGGGATGTCATACTGGTATATAAACTTGCAACAAAACCTGTATTACTGGTAACAAAAACACTATGCAACACAATGGGGACCAGCAACTGAAGGTGAACTATCCCTTTAACAAAAACAAAGGTGAGGCATGGCATACACCACATGCTTTATTATATAATGACTTACAAAAAAATGTTAAATTAGCAAACACAGTAGAACTAAATAAATAAAAAACAAATAAAAAAGCCTCCCACAATGTAGCATAACATCAGTGGCCTGTCGCATGAAGCTAGCTGAATAAACTCTTAAGTTTCAGAGTAGGTTTCGAGTTGACAAAACCAAACAAATCCAAACTGGTTCCAGTACCTGTACTGTAACTAAATCAAATTACACTTCAAATACATTTTTTCCAAAGATGGTTTCCGTCATTTTAGGTAGTTCTTATCATGGCTCCAAATTACGTTATTTTCTCAAGATGACAGCGGCCATACTGAGAATGTTTTGGCTTTACTTTTCTATAGTGGAAGGAATTGGAGATACATCGTCTATCTTTTTTTACAGTCTATGGTCCCAAGGCATGCTTTATAATTTTTGTAGTCAGTGTGCAACATGAGAGTAGACAAAGAATAGGTTTCTTTCAACACAGTTCTGGGATTTGGGGGTTGAGCATCTCAACACTGGGCCTTATTCATAGGTAGAAACCAGTTGCTGTATTAGCTGTAATTATTGCCCTGTGTAGAAGTTTTTAAAGTACAACTTGTCATTTTTCTGTGAATTAATTTTAAGGTTTCAGCTCATTCTACTCAGAGTTGATGAAGGGGCTTGGTGCTGGTACTCGTCTATGGGAACTCATGGACAGAAAGCCTGAATTTCCTCTCAATGGTAAAAATAATTTCCTAAAATAACGCCTAAAATGCACATTAGTTCCTATGAAAAAACGGTTTAACTTTTCATATGTGAACAGCAGTGCTGTAATTATTTTTTTGTTCCTTTTTTTCTTCTTTAGAGGGGCTTGTGTTAAAACCAGAGCAGTTAAAAGGAGAACTGGACTTTTGTAATGTGTGTTTTGCTTACCCAACGAGGAAGGATTCACCCATCCTCCAAGATCTAAATCTGTCTGTGCCAGCGGGGTCAGTAATGGCAGTAGTGGGAACCAGTGGTTCAGGCAAATCCACACTGGTGTCACTGTTGCTCCGGCTCTATGATCCTGATTCAGGTGAGTACTGAAAGTAAGAATCTAATGGAAAATGTTGATAGGTAAGATATAACAGCAGTGAAAATGTATAGATAAATGTGTAGTTTTGATTCAAATGCAGGTGTGGTCACTGTTGATGGCTGGGATATACGAGACTTGAATCCTTACTGGCTGAGGAGTCACATCGGTACTGTAAGCCAGGTAAGAAACGCCACCAGCAAAAAGAAAATCAGACAATCTCCTGCATCCATTTTACTTATTTCTGTGTGTGAATTTGTTTGTTGTAGGAGCCAGTTCTTTTCTCCTGCTCTATTGCTGAGAACATCGCTTATGGGGCGGCTGACCCAAGTCGGGTCACAGTAGAGGACATCTACAGGGCAGCGCAGATAGCCAATGCTCATGACTTCATCCAGGAATTCCCTAAGGGCTATGATACAGTGGTAGGAGAGAAGGGGGTATTGCTGTCAGGTATGAATAAACCTCTGATACTTCAGTAAAATTCATGTCTGTAACAGGACAAATTTGTCTGTTTGTAATTCACCCGACAAGTTATGCATAACTACATTGATTTGTGGAACAGGTGGACAAAAACAAAGAGTCGCTATAGCACGAGCCCTGCTGAAGGTAATCTGTCATCTATAGTATTTTACTGAATTTTAAATATTTGTTGTTTACCAAAGAAACACTGAATATCTTCTCATGCTTTTCACAGAATCCAAAGATACTGTTATTGGATGAAGCCACAAGGTGAAATGTTGTTTGAATACTTCAACGTCTAAATTAACTTAAAATGTACTTAAAAATAAATAGCAGTAGCATACCAGTTAAAAAATTAACATTTGTAAACTGTAGAGATCTTCTGAAATAACTTTCTAAATTCCTAAATGGGTAATTCCCTACTGTCTCTCACTTTTTATATAGTATTAGCAAATACATTTTAATGAAAGCAAAATACATAGAAATAAAAGCTAGATTTTAAGTCTTTATTCTTATATGTATATCATCTTTGAAAATGATCACAACTTTTAAAAATAGTTTTACTAAAATCTCATATATTTCACTATATATTTATATTTAACATATATTTAGTCTTTTTCCATTTCTAAAATAATTAACGACTCCAAAAAAAAAATGTCTTCATGACATGTTTCATTAATAGTACAGTACTATACGATCTTTACATGTCAACCTTGTTGCCATGATTTTGTACATAAGAACTTATTAAAAATTACCTTTAGCACAAGGCTTGTAATCAAACTTGTCGAATGCTCAAACTTGTCTGACTCTCAACCTGTTCATTAATTAATAATTTTTTCCTTTCTCTTACCCTCAGAAACGGAGTCTCCAGCTCTGATTAAGTTGAAGCAGGGAAATTGTAGCTCAGATTGTTTTGTATGCTGAAGCAGTAAGCTGCTTACCCTCAGTGACAGTGACTGCCTACAGCCTTCACTGACTCACTCAGCTCAACATAAGCTCAAGGGCCAACTATGGCAGGATATCTGCTTGCACAGAAACGGGCCTCTCTTGAGTAAAGTATGCAGAGCAGCCACACACCTCCCTGCACTGGAGAGAGAGAAAAAAGAATCACAATCAGCAATTTTTTGTCTTGTTTTCCAATAAAAATATCTTTAAAAATCCTTAAAACTAAATAGATTTATTTGAGAAACAAAACAGCATATAAAAACTTTTCTTATTTCGTATTTTAAAACTTTCCGAGAATATACACTATAGAGGTCAGAGAAAAATAACAAAAAAAATAAATAAATACCTATCAAGTTATCATTGAAACGAAATAAAATATGTGCAATATTAAGTAAGCTTATCAACACTTCAATTCACGTATATTGACTTAGTTTACGATTATTGCAAATATGTTTGGCCGGAGAGGTGTTTTATAACATCATTCGCGACAATGAGTCACCTATTAGCTTGTAAAAAACAGCTAACAATTAATATAACTGTTGATACTGTCGAGATTTACTGATGAGTTACTGTTTTGCTTTACCAACACTGCGCAAACTATATGAAAATAATGCGATCAAATATTGGCTGTGCACAAATCTCTAAACGTACTATTTTACCATTGACAGAAATATACCGAGCAGCCACACACCTCCCTGCACTGGAGAGAGAGAAAAAAGAATCACAATCAGCAATTTTTGTCTTGTTTTCCAATAAAAATATTTTTAAAAATCCTTAAAACTAAATAGATTTATTTGAGAAACAAAACAGCATATAAAAACTTTTATTTCGTATTTTAAAACTTTCCGAGAATATACACTATAGAGGTCAGAGAAAAATAACAAAAAAAATAAATAAATACCTATCAAGTTATCAATGAAACGAAATAAAATATGTGCAATATTAAGTAAGCTTATCAACACTTCAATTCACGTATATTGACTTAGTTTACGATTATTGCAAATATGTTTTGCCGGAGAGGTGTTTTATAACATCATTCGCGACAATGAGTCACCTATTAGCTTGTAAAAAACAGTTAACAATTAATACAACTGTTGATACTGTCGAGATTTACTGATGAGTTACTGTTTTGCTTTACCAACACTGCGCAAACTATATGAAAATAATGCGATCAAATATTGGCTGTGCACAAATCTCTAAACGTACTATTTTACCATTGACAGAAATATACTACGAACCACTATATGGGACAAGGCTGATAGCACTAGCAACATCAGTTCCGCCCCTACACCGGGCCTGGAATGATGACTATCAAACCATAAAAGGACAGTCATGCTAACTACGAACCTGGAGACAGTGGGTGACACGCCGCTTCACTAGGAAGTCACCCCTCGCTTACCCTGCTAGGGCCTAATATGGTTGTAGGATGGGGAAAATTCCAACTGAACATACACATGTCCTCAATAGTGCGCATGGGGACAAACACGAAGAGTATATAAGGTTTGCATGGGTCGTTCAGTCCGTGACTGGATCCATCCGCAGCTGTGTTCTGCACTGAGCTTCATCACAGAAAGGTAAGAACTGCATTAGACCCATGCGCTACTAGTGTAGTTTCGCGGATAAGGCGACTTTCCTATTATGCATACGTAGGAGATGAAGCTCAGAGCAAAAGGGGTATCCTCACTTTGAAGTACCCCATCGAACATGGTATTATTACCAACTGGGACGATATGGAGAAGATCTGGCACCACACCTTCTACAACGAGCTCCGCGTCGCCCCTGAGGAGCACCCAACTCTGCTGACTGAGGCCCCTCTTAACCCCAAGGCTAACCGTGAGAAGATGACCCAGATCATGTTTGAGACCTTCAACGTCCCAGCCATGTATGTGGCCATTCAGGCTGTGCTGTCCCTGTATGCTTCTGGCCGTACTACTGGTGAGACAATTATTTTAACATTAACCACTCACATTAATCATATATGTTGAAGATCTGATTTACAAATAATTTTATTGTATATAACAAAATGTGCAAATTTTTTCTGACCCATTTTTTCTATATTTTAGGTATTGTGCTGGACTCTGGTGATGGTGTGTCCCACAATGTCCCCATTTATGAGGGTTACGCTCTGCCCCACGCCATCATGCGTCTGGATTTGGCTGGTCGCGATCTGACCGACTACCTCATGAAGATCCTGACCGAGCGTGGTTATTCTTTCGTCACAACTGGTAGGTAAATGCAGTTTGACAATTTCTGTGTTGTATTCTTCTGTTTATCTGAACAGCTCAGAATTTTTCTTCAGCTGTGTCTTTCGATAAATTTGTTACATTTGTTTAGGGATACACAATATTTCAGTACCATAATGGTTATTGGCCAAAGTTTTTTTTTTATTTATTGTATCAGTCATTGTTGGATATACACTACCTTTCAAAGTTTGGGGTCAGTGAGTTTTTTTTTTTTTAATGAAATCTTTAATAATTTAATAACACCTTTTTGGCTTGTCAATATCTGCCAGAATTTTATTATGGTGCATCCATTTGTTATTTGTTCTGCTATGTTAGAAACAACTGACTTACTTAAAACTCTTTATAGCTGAGCGTGAGATTGTCCGTGACATCAAGGAGAAGCTGTGCTACGTGGCTCTGGACTTTGAGAATGAGATGGCCACTGCCGCCTCTTCCTCTTCCCTGGAGAAGAGCTACGAGTTGCCCGACGGCCAGGTCATCACCATTGGTAACGAGCGTTTCCGTTGCCCAGAGACCCTCTTCCAGCCTTCTTTCATTGGTGCGTAAAGACAAACATTATTATAAAGTGCTGAATTTTCCATACAGCTCTTAGTTTTATAAATAAGGTGTTTCTAAACAGGTATGGAGTCTGCTGGAATCCATGAGACCGCCTACAACAGCATCATGAAGTGCGACATTGACATCAGGAAGGACCTGTATGCCAACAATGTCTTGTCAGGTGGTACCACCATGTACCCAGGTATTGCTGATCGTATGCAGAAGGAGATCACTGCCTTGGCCCCCAGCACAATGAAGATCAAGGTAATGCATATGTGGTTATCCTTTAACATGGTCCCACTCTCCACAATGCATCACTAACCTGTTCATGTGTCTCCTTATTCTGACAGATCATTGCCCCACCTGAGCGTAAATACTCTGTATGGATCGGTGGCTCCATCTTGGCTTCCCTGTCCACCTTCCAGCAGATGTGGATCACCAAGCAGGAATACGATGAGGCAGGCCCCAGCATTGTCCACCGCAAGTGCTTCTAAATCCATCATCTGCATCTATTTGCTGTGGAATATGCAATAATGGAGAATACATTCATCATTATGGGACAGCTTTGGTACAAATTTATTTTGTACCCATGTGTTACTTGATGAACATACCCTGGATTACCAAGCAGGAACACGATGAGGCAGGCCCTAGCATTGTCCAAACAAACACAATCAAGATCCAGAAGACCATTATACCATGTTATCTATCACAAGACTGTAATTTGTACATAAATAGTCATTAATTTATTAAAGTCCATTATTTGGTATTTGGCATTTGTGCCGTGTTTGTGTTAATAAATTGTTCGACTTGACCGCATAGTGCATAGTATAGTGATCTAGAGTGTTGCTGCAAAGGAAAATAGGAAAGTCCTAGTTAGAAAAAGTAAGTTCCACTACAGTAATTATTTTCTAATTACATATAGCAAATACAGTCAAATTCTCAGCGGAGTTTGCTTAGTGTACAAATTATTTATGTTTTTGAAAATTTAAGTCATCAAATGGTCACACATGCTCATTTAACCTTTCTAATATTCCTGAAAATAGTGAAAGTTGACCTCCGTCTGACCTCACCTTAATGTGCTACATTTGCCTCCCGGGAAAACCAGGGTGAGATCCTGACCAATCAAATAGAATAAATAATTAAACTATAATAATAATAATAAAAACAATTTCTTAAAAATTATTGACTTTTTTTCAAGCACTGACACAATTTATTTCAGAATTTCACAAGTCATAAAACTAAAATGTGCATAGTTTAAATTCCTCGAGGTCAAAGGTGACTCTTTGGGGTGGTTTTAAACAAATAACTTGTTTTAGTTTTTCTATCTATCTATCTATCTATCTATCTATCTATCTATCTATCTATCTATCTGTCTGTGTGTCTGTCTGTCTCTCTCTCTGTCTGTCTGTCTGTCTGTCTATCTATCTGTCTATGTATCTATCTGTCTGTCTGTCTGTCTGTCTGTCTGTCTGTCTGTCTGTCTATCTGTCTGTCTATCTATCTATCTGTCTGTCTGTCTATCTATCTGTCTATCTATCTCTCTATCTGTCTGTCTGTCTATCTATCTATCTATCTGTGACGGCATAGCACAAAACGGTGGATTTGGTCAGACGTACTTTTAAACACATTTTAGTTTTGCTATAGTAAATCTACATATTCACATTCACATAGAGCAGTGGCAAGTGCATGAGGTTGTCATGGTAACCACATACATTGCCCACGAATTACAGCTGCGCTTCTATTTTGCCACACTAAACTTAGCAATAAACACGTTTAAAATGCACAATAAACATATCTGTCAAAACGATCTTGAAAAACTGTTTTTAAAACAGACATTTGTTGGGCTAGATTCAAGTTGATGCACAATGAGGCGCACACTTTTTAGTTAGTCTTATTGAATAGACATAAACAGTTTATATTCTAAAATCTATTTAAAGGTTGTGTTCTGTGAAAATTAAATAACATTTGGATGTAAATGGTCAGCATA